CGAACATCGCGAATGTTGACGCCAGTCTTTGTCTGCCGTTCGTTAAATTCTAGGAGCTCGGACCTATTGAAATCGACTTTCAAGGTAGCATCACCCCTGTTCTTGTTTCTCTCCTCAGGCCAAAAATGTGTAGTGTTCTGCCACAGCCGGGTGTCATTGATTCCGGTTTATATAAGCGCAAAGAACAATGAAGAACGAAGCGTGGTTTATTTCACGATAAAACATTGTTCTATCATGACGTCATTTCCGGAGATTCGAACATGCGCTCCCATTTTGACGTCGTAAATTGGACGACGATATTTTTGCGAGGGAGTGTCTAGTGAGTTGTTTCCCATAGATGAAGCTGGGAAACGTTGATAAAGCAATGGGAGAACGATCGCATTCAAAAGTGGGATACATAATGATACATATGATAATCGGCATTGTGGGATAAGGTACAGAAAATCGACGTGCAAATTGTGAGTCTATGCGGGAAATACCCAATTTAACCCACCTGTTTGACTTATCCGACATTGTCGAGGTCGGATTCTATTCAGAGAGTCATGGTTATTTAAATACGGGTAAATATTTTTAAAGTATTTGCACATTTTATTAACATCCTTAAAGAGACTGTACATAACATTGATATCTCATATAAAAATTAAACTCGTGATCGTTGTTTATCGTACAATAAAACACTGTAGGGAGAATAAAACACTGCAACCCTCACGGCTTATTCTCCCCGCAGTGTTTTATTGTAGTAGTACCAAGCGCACCTGAAATCTGTGTAAACAATACACAACATTAATTCCAAATCATATAATTTATCTATTAGCATTACGAACACATCAAAACAACTTAGGCTAAAACCAAATTCGTACTTACTCTCACATATACACTATTCTTACTATCATATATGAAATCAGTAAATCAAACATGCAACAATTCACTCATTGGGAAATTAGAAATATTTGAATGAATTAGATGAGTTGTTTGATAGTTTCTATGTTAAATTCTATACTCCGAAATCCACTAAAACCTGACTACAGTTACTGTATTATTTACACATAGGTTAGATTTACCTTTGTTAAGGTTGAATTTACTGGTTTTATTTATACACAAACAAGGCAAATATAACATGTAAAGTGTACACACTTATAAACCAATGTAAAAAATTAAACTAACCTGTGAGGTACTTACAACTGCTTATGTCTCCAGTCTATAACTCAGTCCTGCTGGTGCAAAGGGTGAATGTGAAGTGCGGATTTGAATTAAGAAAGAGGGCAAGAGTTTGAATGATCAAGTCGGTGGTGATTAAATCAGGCCACGTAATAATGAGGTAGCCCTACCTATCTACCCTTAATTATATTAGAATAAAACTAATTATAGAGCTAATAATAGACCCAACTCTGAAACCTTCTTTGTCCATATAAGTATAGTCTGTTTCAAAGTGACCAAACCTGTTGATAGAAAAAATACATTCATCAGTTAAAATAGGAAATGATATACCTGCAATTCTTGAAGCAATTGTCATTATACAAATATCAACGCAACGCTTAAATGACTTAACTCTAATATTTACATAACTATATAATACAATAATATGTATCTGCAACACGATAAACAACATCCGGGTACTCGTTGTTTATGTCGAGGGGAATGTCCGAGTAACTCTCCATTCCTTAAAAATAATCGAGCAGAGGCCCATTATTTTTTAAGGAATTGAGAGTTACGAGGATATTCCCCTTCTGTAAACACATACCTACTATTACACTTTGACAAAATATTCTGTTGTTGAAAATATTTGAAAAATAAACCAGAATTCTTTGTAGACTGTATTTATACTGTGTGAGTCGCCCTTACGTGATGCACGAGGAATACGTTCTCTGCCGCTGTTGCACGTGCGCCAAGCTCCGTCGCGAGCTGACATTTACAATGCATGGTACACGGCTCTTCATTAATTCGTTGGGTCCTAAACTTGTATCTATCAATCGCTTGCACATTGTAAATACAGGCTGACGGGAATAATAGGAAATATAGAGCCCCGAACAAGGATATATATATATTACCCGATTTGTTATTTCTCGTCAAAGGTTTATCTAATGGCTATTTTTATGAACATTGTTGTAGGTAACCTGCTCTAACACAAAATACATACATGTTATTTTGAGCTCTTAAGCATAATGGAAAATTATGAAAATATTTAATAGTTAATTTCACACCATACCTTCATGTGCCGCCGTAGCTGAGGTTGACAATTACACATCCTCAAATCAAATGATGCGGTTTCGAACTCGGCTGGCGACTGATGTTTTCGGAAAAATAATTGAATTATTCATTTGTCAATAAATGTAAAAAATCGTTCCGCCCATTCCAAGTGGAAATTATTTCAAATGTTGGATCAAGATAATGTATAGTTCACAAACAACTCTCCATTCTTGAAAAGTAATGGGGCGTTCAAACAAGAGAATGACGCCACAGACGTGTTTTAATTCTTAAACACATGGGGAAAGCAAACTTTATTTCTTAAACACAAGACACTGTTTACTATTCATAACACAAACTAAAAAGTTGAAAGAATGATTTTGGATGATAAATAGAATCTCACCCTCGTGTCTTTTGATGTCAAATATAAACACTCGTCGATAAAAGTTTAAAAGTCCTCAACGAGAATCGGAGTCTTAAACTTTTATCAACACATGTTGATAATTTTATTTGATGTCAAATTACACTTGTATGAGATCGATGCGCATGATTTCAATCACTGGATTGTCTGGTCCAGACTCAATTATTTAAATATCGCCGGCATGTAGCTTGAGTACTGCTGCGTGCGGCGTAAAACAACAGACAAACAAAACAAAGCAAACAAATAGGGATATAATCAGTGAAATAACATGTTGACGATATTTTTCCTTAATATTTTTTTCAACAGTTTAAGCATGAGATATAAATGTTCAAATTAAGATATATGAGATTTCTGTAGTATCGAGGGACATGAGAGATATCAGGTCTCTGTAGTATTGACAGCCATGCGACTATACACTCAGCGAATTCATTTACCAAAATTTAGTGTGAAGTTTTATAGGGGTATTTTCAGGGAATATCGTTGAATTCGTCCTTGAACGCACGTTACATCCCTTCCCTTAATGACACTGGTAGTGACCATATATCGTGTAGCTGGTAAATGTTGCCTTACAAACCTCTGTGAACACAAGAAACCGTAATTTCCCTGTGTGTCATTATCAACACACAATAAACTAATGTAAGAGTCTTGCATTCATTCACAAAGATGACTTATTTACAGGTTTTAGTCTATAGAAGCACTTCAGTTACCACAGTCAGTTTGAATGAGTTTCGAAGCTGGTCTTTGAGATAACGCTGAGAGTATGGTGAAGATCATATCTAGCCACTGTGGGACAAACATCGCTGCAGCCGGAAACTATAGTCAGTTATACGGCTTTTGAAGTCTCAAAGCATTCCAATACCCGACTACAAACGATATCTGGCAGCCTCACTAATGGGGCCACCGGCCACAGATTTACCCCTGGCCTCGACAAGATGCTATTACTTAGGAAATGCCATTACGAATGAACAAGGTATTGAATAAGAGATTCGTGTCCCCTGCAATTTGATGTTTTATGTCTGTATAGACATCAGCTTTAATGCTAGTGTGATAAGCGTTTTTACATAGAACCGGAAACACTTCTCTTGTCCTACTCGTCGTGTAGGTTCAACAAACATTTGAGTTGTCTCCCTTCATGTAATGTCAATAAAACGGACTTGTAAACAAAAGTGAATGGGAATTTCCATAAATATAGTTGAAAGTACACCAGCGTGTTTAAATGGGGACGGAATATGTTTTTTTTCAGCCACAGCTGCCAAACCAAATATTTTTTAAATTAAAAAAGTATGAGACTAAGTTATTTGTAAAGGCATTTTGCAACAAAATATTTCTGTGGTATACGTTAATTTTTGTTTAACAGTCCGAAGAGTATATATATTTTTAAAGCATTTTCTGGGACAATTTCCCCCCTGCTTTCCCCGCAGATTATTAAACGGTCGGTCCCTCCATCCGGGCCGCTCAATTTAATCGTAGCACTGCGACTATACGTCACCTGATTAATACAGACAGTGCCTTTGTTATAATTTTCGCCTGTTCGAAAACTTAAGTCGTTGTGATGTACGTGTGGAATGGTACTGACTCCGGCATACAAACAATCATATAGTGAGTTGGGTGAACGCCGCCCGAACAGTATCCCAGTTATATCACGTATATCAGTTATATTGTGTCAGTTTAATGTGGGAGGAAAGACCGAAGTGATGCAGGTCTCAGACGTTTACCACTTCGTTGCAACCCACGTGTAAGGGGTATGCTGCTGATAAAACTAGGAACAGGACGTACCGGGATTCGTACCCATGATCATAGCCTCCTGGCACAATTAAGAGCCGCAACTCTGCGCAAAACTATATATATATACCGGTTATATAACATATAACGCTGCAGTGCAATATAATGTTCATAACAAAAGACACAAAACCTAATTATATTATTTAATCTGAATGAACATTTATATATAATATATTCAGTTTTCAGTCCCAGCGGAATCAAGCAGTGGTTCCGATTGCAGTCACAGAAGTAACAGAAATGAAATTTGACTTGTTTCTGAAACGACGGATGAGCTCAGCTAACATCTTGTTTGAACTTTTGAATATCTCTGTTAAGTACACTTTAATTCGAACCTGTTGTAGTTCATTAACCCTGTGTCATCACTCACAGAGGGGCTATATACGCCAGGATGGCGACCCAAGTTGGAATCAAGTTTCTCTTCTCCAGTTCTGCAAAGTCACATTTCTCACAAACTTATGTTGTAAACACATCTAAAAGTTAATTAAATATTAAATTTATATCACAAACACACAAAGTCTCAGTTTCAGTGATTACAACGTACGTCTCGATGGAGACTAAATGTGAGTACGAGACCGTTGAGCATGTCTACCGTTCATTTTCTGTTGCTTTCTGATCAGCTTCCGGACAGGTCAGTGCTGAGGTTGTCTGCCCTTGTCTCCAGCAAGAATATCGGGTGAATGTTGGCGGCAATGAGGCACAGTTCGTCAGAACCGAGCACGCCGTCTTGTAGAACTTTTGGCAGGGGGAGACAATCCACCACGCCCATTTCACATCGCTCAATACCGAGTGTGGCTCGGATTTTTACAAGACAAGTTCTCATCAGGGAAGGAGGTGTGCTGCTTAGTTCCTCCAATCGCCGCGAGAGGTCACTGAAACCACGGCGTTTCAGCAACATCGGCATGTCTCCGTCATTGTCCCGGATTCTTATTCTGCATGACGTCATCAGGAGAGGAAGAAAACTTGCCATGACGATCTTTTCCCGTCGATGAAGTAAGAGAAATAGTGGCGACCTTCCCCTATTGTTGAGAGAGTCGGGGTCGGCTCCGAGGTGTAGTAAGACCCGGATGTGTTCAGGAGATCCATTCTTTGCAGCTCGGTGTAACGGAGAGTCACCTGTAAAGTCGAGTGCGTTGACACGTGCGCCCCGGTTGATCGTATGCGTCACTAAACTGTGATGATTCGAGGGGTTGTCGCACAAGTAATGCAGAACCTGTCGCTCACAGTAGTCGCTCGAGCTCACATCTGCTCCGCACGTCAGCAATTCCTGATACACATTACCATGGGCTATGGACGCGGCGTACAACAACGGAGTTCTCCCTTCATAGTCCCGGGCTTCCAAATCCGCTCCCCTCTCCAGGAACATATTTACTGGTTCCGATAAATCAAATTTGCCACACAAGTGAAGCACTGACTGTTTCTGGCACGTGCTGGCGGCAACGCGTACATCGAACCCAGCGTTCAGGAGGTGTCTTAGACACCCAAGTGATCTTTGATGTTGCTGCCAAACACGAGTTTTAAACTCTTCCTCTTCACGTGATTTCTTTGCAGTGTCCCCCATTTCCTCCCAATCGACGGAGATCCGGGGCCAGTATTCCAAGAGTACGGCAACCGCACATCGCCCAAAATTGTCCCAAGAATACGGGTTTGCTCCATTTTCCAGCAGCAGTTTTACAATCTGGGGTCGTCGGTGCATGCAGGCTAGGTGTAGGGGCGGTGCGGTGCGCGTGAAGCGGCCTCCTCCCCGGGGGTGGGAGTTAATCCATGAATCTAGGGAGTGCATGTTACCTGGATATATGTTGTCACGCAGGATGCTGCGACATCGCTCAATATCGTTGTTGACGATAGCATCGTGAAGTCTGCGCCACGACACATCCTCAGCCTTCTCGCTTCCGTATCGATCGGATATCATGATGTCATTGAAGGCAGGTGTAACTTTCGGGACATCCGGGACCGCTTCCTTGCTGACAAGGTCGCCCATGTTTACTTGGCATAAACGTTCACAGTAGATTCACGCTTGCTGGAACATGCAACATTTAGATAGAACGTGTAACGTCCTTTGTGACGTCATCGGTACATGACGTCATTAGATATGACGTCATAATTGATAAAGCGCCAATGTCGAACACAATGTTTCCCTCTGACTGTGAACTTAGCTTCAACTACAAACGAACATATATTTCAAAGTCGATGCATAGTTATTGCATGTACATAGTTAAGTTTCTTTGTTTGTTTGTTGTTTAACGCCGCACTCAGCAATATTCCAGCTATATGACGGCGGTCTGTAAATAATCGAGTCTGGCCCAGACAATCAAGTGATGACAAAGTAAATAATTTAATATGGAATACCAAACGAGCTCCCGTGCAATACCAATTTTATGAATCGAGTGAATAGTTGTGGTATCTGACGAGCGAAAGCGAGTCAAATACCACAACTATTCACGAGTTTCATAAAATTTGTTTTACACGGGAGCGAGTTTAGTATTTTATTTATTACTTGCCATTTATAACGTTTTTTAGAATTACGCTGTTGATGTGAATAGGCTGACACCTACACGACCCAGGGCATAATCCAATTGAGTTCAACATAATAATACTTCAAACACGTCAAAAGTTGAAACGTATGAATTTAATACCATACAACGGTCTACCTTCAGAATTCAGGCGTCCGTTCCACAAAACTATCGTAGCGCTAAGGTTGTCGCAACTCACATACTTTAACTTAAACCAACGACTGTCGTTGCGCTACAGTACGATCGTATGGCAAGCCGTTTTCATTACAGATATCTTCATTTGTTTTAAAGATATCTTGAATTGAATTGATTTTGGTTTGGTTTGTTGTTTAACGCCGCACTCAGCAATATTCAAGCTATATGATGGCGGTCTGTAAATAATCGAGTCTGGACCAGACAATCCAGTGATTTATATCATGGACATGCATCAACCAAGTGCGCGAACCTGACCACCCGATCCCGTTAGTCGCCTTTTACGACAAGCATAGTCACCTTTTACGACAAGCATATATAGTCGCCTTTTACGACAAGCATAGTCGCCTTTTACGACAAGCATAGTCGCCTTTTACGACAAGCATAGTCACCTTTTACGACAAGCATAGTCACCTTCTACGACAAGCATAGTCGCCTTTTACGACAAGCATAGTCACCTTTTGAATTGAAGATATCGTGAATGGAATTGACACCAGTCACCAGTCAACCAGAAGCGTTTTCTGCTGTGACACCGAGTTCCAAGAGACTTTTGTGTGATAGATGAAGCCAACATTTATCATAGAATGCCTGGGGGCATTTCGTAGCTCTAACACGGGATTTCATTGGCTAAAAATTGGTTTCTAATGACGCTTTATTGCCGAAATCTGCTACAAGGTTCGTGATTGATCAAATTTGAGAATGTGAACTAAGGCAGCCAATCAAATTACAGCTATGGTACCGTCCTCGTGTATGATGAATTTCAGAATTTGACGAAAGAATTTTGTTAAATCGTGTTATTTTGACCGTTTTAAGCAGGAAATCGCGATCTATAATAAAAATATGGAACTTCGTGGATGTATCGTGCTAGGTTATGAGCTGTGACAAAGATTTTTCATGCATATATTTTGGCATTAAACATCGTGTCCGAGCCGAGAAATCGAGGCGACGAAAGCCGAGATGTCATTTGACTTAAGTCTTACATTACACGCGATCGCACGAAAAGATGGAAAATATAACAACACGTCCCATTTTAATTCTAGAAACCCATTAGTCCAGAAACTCTACGGTCTTTGCCCAGTCTCGGTCAAAGGTATTTACAAAATTAAACATGCTGTTTTCATGGGAACATGCCAAGGAAGAAAAAATGAAAAAAAAATTGTTCAAAAACTCAATATTTACACTATGGGCAGGCCAATGGGCGAGGTGTGGCCCATGTGTAGGCCTATGGGCGAGAATATGTTCCTTTAGATGTAAGTTTGACATCTTTTAGATATATTTTTGTTGATTTTATTTATTTATTTGTATAATGTAGTTAAAGATTTGCTTGAAACGTCTTTATTTTGCTCTTTGACATGTTCGATGTGGACCCGTTGTCGAAGTGTGTGTCCGAGAATTATATTTTCAATAACATTGCGGGAAATAATAAATATTTATATAATTAATCGATAAAATATGATAAATTGAAATGGAATACGTATTTCAGACATCGTGAAATGTGATAGATTTAATAAATGAATGATATGACAGGTAGACTCATATACTTATAAACTATTTTGACGTGACTTCGGCTTGGCCGGTCTACCGGCCTACGGTGTCTGGGGACTCAAGGCTTCTTGGCCGGTACACCGGCCAGACAACCTAGTGATTGACATCATGAGCATCGATCCTCGCAAATGGGATACGATGACATGCATCAACCAAGTCAGCGAGCCTTGACCACCCGATCCCGTTAGTCGCCTCTTATCACAAGCATGGTCGCTTTTTAGGGCAAGCATGGGTTCCTGAAGACCTACTCTACCCTGGATCTTCACGGGTGGTTTGTATCACTAACGTTAGCTGGTATGAAAAAAATGAATAGCCTGATCGATCCGCGCCACACACCGAATGAAAGAATGAGAATTTAAAGAAAAATGTTTATTTGAGTATCACCTTCTGCTGATAAAATCATACTTTACGAAATTTCATTTTATTATGGATTCTGTGGGTGAGATAAGGAAGATCCCATACGAGTGTATTTTGACATCAAATAAAATTATCAACATGTGCTGATAAAAGTTTAAAACTCCGATTCTCGTTGACGTTATATTTGACATCAATGGGCACGAGGATGAGATTCTAATATTTGTTTTTATAATTACATATATACTAAAAGCCTTGGCAAGTCTAGATCAAACGAAATGAAAACAGCAGAAGATTAAAGGTTCTTTTGAAGAATAAAAAATACAGTTATGTTAAAGAAATGTCTTCATAGACTAGGTGCTAGTCCATACACTGCCAGACGGTCACATTTGCGTAACCAAATTAGTCACAGCGGCCAGAAAGTAAGTCAACAACGAATTTATTATCCTGCTTGGTAGATTGCAAGAACATGCTGAAGATTAGCAAATATCACTTATGAAATAAGTATAATTCATTACTTAAACCACACTGTAAAAAATGTATTAAGAATGTAAACACATAAAGACTTGTTTAGGAATGTGTTTATACACATTGCGTAAGTAGTACTGCAAAACTGAAGTGAAATTTCATTATATTAACTAGTGGAAAACACAATATCAGACTTAAAGCAAGTCTTGTTTGAACCTAGAATGTTATATAGGCCTACCTAGATTCGGTGTGTTCTATTTAAACATGTTTTGGGTGTAACATACGACCTGTCGCCTTACAGCCTAAACACCACTTAAACGCAACATCCCCTTAATCCAAACATCTTTAGAATTTAAACGTGTTTAATGAAGATCATATGATGAGGCTGTAAGTCATATATGGATGAGATCTATAATTATACTAGACTAAGTATATATTGAGATTAGACGTGCAAATCAGATTCCGAGGCACGTGCATAACTCATATACCACCAAGACTTACAACTAACTTGGTATAATATTAAAATAAAAATATACAAATAAAGCAAGCTAATGGTGATAAGGAAAGTTGACAGTCTCCTAAGCACAGGTGGTAGCGTGACGGACTACACATGAATAGGTAGTAGGTTCGAATCTCACCGAGGTATAAAAGTCCTAGTGTGTGTTGTTGTATGCCGGGTATTTCTCTCATACCAAAAGCCGGCAATGAAAATATATCTGATTACCAGTTAACCATTTTTAGTTAGTGACGATAAGCCACCTATTAAAAAAATACTAATTGATTATTAGTAAAGTCTACGAACATGTCTCGATGGACAGTGAAACTCACCAACTATGTCAGAAAACATTACAGAAAGAACTTGTCAGTGCTGTATAGCCTTTCATTTGTAGTCAGATAATCCAGAATGATTACTCTCTGGCCGTTTTATTTAAGAATTAAACGACGAGTGGGAATTGTTTATTGCACAATAAAACACTGCAGGGAGAATAAACCATAAGCGGCGCAGCAGTGTTTTATTGTAAGATAAACAACGAGTCGTTTATTTCTTATATGAGATATCAACATTACGTACAGACTCTTTAAGGATGTTAGTGAAAAGTACGTTTTGAAAATATTTAACCGGATTTAAGTAACGATGACTCCCTGAATAGAATCCGACCTTGGCAATGTCGGAGCAGTCCAATTTATGAACGGGAGGGTTACATTTGGTCTTTCCCGCATATTCTCACAATTTTCACGTCGATTTTCTGTGACTTTTCTCCCAATACAGATTGTCACATCTCTCCCATTTTGGGATGCGATCGTTCGCCCATTGCGTTCATCTGCCCTGTCCAGCTACATCTAGGGGGAACAACTCACTATAGACACGTCCCTCTAAAAAATAATCTCGTCCAACTAACGACGTCATCAAGTTGCGGGCGCATGTTCGAATCTCCAGAAATGACGTCAAGATAGAACAATGTTTTACCGCAAAATAAACCACGCTATTGTTCTTTGCGATTTGTCGTGTGGCTGTCTTATAAATTCCATTAATGTTTGAACGTTACTTCCTTACATTAAGGGGGGCACGGGTGGCCCAGTCGTCTAAGGCGCCGCGATTCGCTGTGCAGAGTTGCGTCCCTTGGGCACGCCAGAAACCTATGATTGTGGGTTCGAATCCCGGTTCGCCCCGATTATGTTTCTAGGTTTGTCAGCACCATACCCGTGCTCGTGGGTTTCACCGAAGTGGTAAACGTCTGAGACCTGCATCACTTCGGGCTCCTCCACATTAAGCTGACACGCCGCGATATAACTGGAATACTGTTAAAAGTGGCGTTAAACCCAACTCACTCACTCACTCCTTACATTAAGATTTTGTATGTATAGTTGATGTAACACGTGACATGTGCTTTCAGTCTTTTTTTATTTT